TAGATGCGCTTAAAAATGAACTTACAATGTTATTTCCAAGCGTATACATTACTTCATATCCTGGACAATGGAATCCCCTGACCTGCACGGGGGTGTGGGTGGGTTTTTTTTCCTTCTTTTTTTCGGGGAGGGGGGGGGGTTATGTAAAGTTACCTCACCAACCGAGCTTGTCAGATCTAGCTGACAGTATAACTCAACACGTCACTTTTACCGAATGACAATGGAGATATTCATTCGCCACTGTTTTTCAAATGCAGCGTTTATCAAAGAAAAAAATAATGTGTTTGGAAGAAATGACATAGCACCACAAAGGACATTTTCAATTACTAAGTGATTTTTTAGGATACTCTCGCCTCAGGACCTGACGTCATTTGAGACATTGCTTGGCTGGAAACTTGGCTTACCTGGCCAGTCACGTTATCAATTGTCGGGCGGCAGACTTAGCCAGAAAAGAGGAAGTTTCCCTGTTCCTCAAGGCGAAAGAAAAATTACTGGAAGAATTTTTTTACTAGCACGTATAGAGGAATAAGGGCAGTCTTCATATCATATCATAAACCTATTTCTCAAAATCAAAAGGTACCTTTCTCTGCGCTTCGACCCGTCCACCAGAACGTCGATATCTCATGCATTACGCTGCGGTTAACCGTTCTCGCGGAAAGGGCACAGCTAGCCATGGCAGGGGCTCGCTTCTTGGCCTCTCCGGACGACCCGAGGGTTAACGGAGCGGGGAGAAGGGCCGATTGTGCCACTAATCCCCCGGGATTAACCATCAAAGCAACTCCGTTCCCAACTGAATCGACACACACATATCAGCCACTCTAGGCAGCACCGAACTTTAACACCCACCATCGGCCTTCTAAGAGGTACTAAAAGTCTGGTGATCGCTAGTGTGTAGAAAGCCCAATAGTTCGATTTGCTGAAGGTATACAAATTCGTAATCCCCCCTTGAAAAAGACCGTCCAAGGTGGCTCCCAGCTGACTTTTAACTTAAAAACATGGTCTGTTGTTCTTCATTCAGACCGCGCGTGTTTATTAGGTCTATAAAGAGAAAATAGGCGTAAGAAATTGGGAAATTGGATATATACATCTCTTTATGAGGGGATTTTGTGAGGATGAAATGATACAATAGGACAGAGAATAGAATGATTGACAATCAGAGCAAAGGAAGAAAACAACACTGCCCTATGTTTTATGATCATTGAACCTAAGACGAGATATTGCCAAGAGGAGTGAATGCCGCATTTCAATGTTGGTTGTTTTATTTAAAACATAAATCCAGTCTGCGCTGATCAAAAGCAGAAGAGGCCACGGATCTGTATGGCATTTTTCACTTGGAGACAAGGACCCCTCAACGTAATCTCTTCAACAGGAAATATACCTATAGAAGCGAAAGTGTCCATTTTCTAAAATCGTCATAAAAGTTCGTCTGTATTATAAAAGAATTTCACATTCGACCTCATTGAGCGGCGGCATATTTCACTTTCAGTGGCGTGAAACGGAATAAATGACACGAAAACACCCCATGTTAGTCATGCTTATTATTTTGTTTATTTGTATGAGTAGCAACCAAAATTAGCCCCTAAAACCCCGAGGAAATACAAACGGCTGTGGTAATTCCAAACCTTCCAGCACGATTATCGTGGTTACGATTATGGTGATTATTATGATCATAACAAGGACGACAATTTTGAAAATGTTTTCTATTGCAGGTACTGGCTGCATGTTCTCAACTAACAAAGATGATGATAATGTGCACCACCACCACCACAGCGCCTTTACGCGCCTTATCCTCATACACTACCACACCTATATTCTTTTAGACTTTTATCTTATTTTTTCGGGGGGGGGCAAGGACAATGTAATTGTTCTTTTGAAAAACAAAGCTTTGCAAAGATTATTTGCGGCGAATGATAAAATAGTTCTACATTTATGTACCTATAAAAGCATAACACAGACCTTCAGGCTTCAGGAGAAAGGTCCACTCTCACCACAACAATTCCAAGGCAAACAGTTTTCCCTGCCTGAACAAAAGGCAAAGCCAAATAGGGTCTGCCGGAGACTTAAAATATTTCCAGTGCGGTCGTTATTTTGAGCTGATGTCATCATCGGCACTGAAATGTATTCTTCCCTTATTTTCATCCATCTCATGTGTTTTTACAACATACCGTATTTTCTTTTCAACATACAACTATCAAGACAATAGTTGTTGATTGAAACGTGAGAATCCGTATACTGCTGGATCAATACAAACAACAAATAACATCTTTTATCTTCCCCATTTCGGTGTTTCATTTTGTTCTTCTTTTAGAGTCATCCGGAAGTCTCTTCCTTTGAGCTCGTTCTCTTTAAGTAATTCCTTAAGGTCCAGCACAGGCATCGACAGTTCCTGGTGGCCCGTTCAACTCTCGTGTCTGCTCACATTCACGCTGTGCTACTGTAGATTTATTTACACGACGATGTAAAGACAATCCAATTGAGATCTCGGAGTGCATGGGGTTCCGAGACTCGAATGATGTGTAGATAAAATGCAAGTCGTTCAAGCGTCCTGTCCGACTTCATGGAAATACAATACTTGTTCCGGCGCAGACAGGGTTTATTTGAAGGAAGTGATTATTCACACCGGGTGTGCGCATAAGAATTAATTGTATTCACACCGGGTGTGCGAATAAGAAATAATTTTATTCACACAGGGTCGAGCCTACGTTGATTTTTGGACCTCGTTTGTTACACCCGGGTAGCCCAGGTTTTAAATGACAAAACAACTGTACACCAGTATAATATCATACTTGTTTCAGTTTTAGGGTTAAAGTGAGCACTCATCTCTCTCTCTCTCTCTCTCTCTCTCTCTCTCTCTCT